ACATCTGTGTGTGTGCTAGTGAAAAAAAAACAGGACAAGAACATGAGGGCGGGTTGTGCAAAATAAGAATGTATATGGAGCCAGGATGTGGAAAGATACACCTCCTGCCGTATTGCTCTCTTGTCAAGTCTGTTATTGTCAGACAGAAAGATGGCATTGGCTTCGTGGCCCTCCTCGTTGCCCTTCGAAATGTGTTGTTCTGCTAACTTCTTCCCCCGAATTGCAATCAGACTCGCTTTCTTTCACACTTCACATGCATGTAAACAGGTCGCACAGCAAACCGGCGACAAGCGCCCACGCAAAGCTCAGAGATATTGTAACCCAGAACACAGTTCAGATACAAGCTCGCGTCAGATGGCTATGCCGCGTCAGCGCCTGTACAACTCTCTGTTCGTCACTGCGCCCTACTCTGCTGTTCACACACACTCAACTTAGGATCACCCTGGATATCCCACACGCGACACACTGTACACACACGCACACATACACTACACCCTTGTTCCAGCTATGGCGGCTATGGCTGCTACTACCTCTATCGCTATGGCTAAACTCTCCTTCTCGCCCACTTCGTCTTTGGGCATACTGCAGACCACCTCGCACAAGTCGCTGTAGCAGTGCTTCCGCATGGCTTACGCAGGAATGAATGAATGGCTGGGCGCTGCCTCTTGATTTATACTTCTGTAACTCGTTGGTCTGCCCTCGTGGTGCACACAGTCCCATACGGTACTTGCTTGACTGGACGAGGACTGACTGGAACTGGTACCGCTGACTCAGCAAGGGTGGACTCCACCACTTGCCCACTTGCCTCTGTCTAGACGTGAGCCAACTTCGAAAGGCCACTACTGGGACCTTCCGGAAGTCTGTAGTCCTGGCCTTTCGAATACTGTAGCAGCTACGACCTTGACCTTTCAGGACTGTCGCAGCTGCGACCTTGACCTTTCAGAAGTCCTACAGCTACGACTTCTAGAACTCCCTAAGACCTCTATCCGACAGGTCTACAGATCGACCCCCTACAACCTACCAACCCTACGACAGTCTACCAACTGTTACCATACACAGGTCACGGGTTCAACTCTCGAGGTCGACGCAGGTAATGTACACAGGTAAGGTAAAGTCTAGAGAGCCCTGGGATCTGCATTCGCTACTGCTAGCAGGTGAATACCGTTTCACTCCCGCCGGCCTAAATTCGAGGTCCTCCGCCGAGAATAATTCAGTCCAAGGCAGGACCTCTACCTTTCTTATCTCTCTCGTAGGCTCTAACTATGTCGGGAGCGGTTTCTAGAAGTTCCGTTCTAGTAAACCAGCGGTCGCCCTCTGGTTCCTGATAAACAAACTGGACTTTATACTGTTTCTGTGGACGACCTCTACCTCCTGTTCTAAACAATCTTCACCTACAATGCCGTCAATGTCGTACCTTCTGTCCATGTCTGGGGGAATCATGGATCTTCTAGATGGAAACTGTTGACTTGTGGCACATGGCAACAACTTTGATGCATGAAACACGGGGTAGGTGTGGAGGTGTGCTGGGATCTCCACTGTGTAGGACGGTCCATCCTCTCTGCCCTTAACTTCTAGAACTGGCCACGGTCCTCTATCCACGGGTAGTAACTTTTGTGAGATGTTTTCCTCAGGAGCAAACTCTTTGGACTTGACCCAGACCAGGTCGCCTACTTGAAACTGTGACGGGCGACGGTGTTGCTAGCCTGTTCTATCATTCGGTGTTGGGCCTCCCTGAGGTTCTCTACAACGGTAGCTAACTGCTCGTGCTGTATCGCAAACTCTCTAGTACCGGGCAGTAACCTGTGAATCTGGTCCTGGTTAAGTCCCTCAAACGGGCTGCGTGGTCTAAAGGACTTGTGCAGCTCATTGGGAGTGCGACACGTGGCTAAGTGCACGCTGTTATTATAGGCACTGGCTACCTTGGGCAACATCTCATCCCAATTGACTTGATCGGGTCTAATGTACGTACGCAGAACTTGTTGCAGGATCTTATTCATCTGTTTGGTCTGACTGTTAGTCTCGAGGTGCCGGCCAGACGACATTAGCAACTTTGACCCATAGACTTTCACGAGTTCCTGCCAGTTCTGACTAGTGAACCGGGTGTCTCTATCGCTAACTATAGACAGCGGAATCCCGTGATCACTAACCCAATGGTCAAAGAACTTTTGAATGACTAATTCAGTGCGTGCCTCTGCAGGCAAGGGAACAAAAACTGCATATTTGCTAAATCTATCGATTATGACCATGACTTGGCCCTTGCCGTGCCTACTCTTGACACCAGCGTCCATGAAGTCAATGAAGACTGAATCTCCAGGTTGGTCAGGAATGGGCAAGGGTCGAAGAAGACCTAGAGGGGCACAAGTAGTTGTCTTATTTCTTTGGCAAACTTTACAACTGCGAACATACTCTATGCAGTCAGCTTTCATTCCTGGCCATGTATACGCATGCATCAGGTTGGCGAGAGTCTTTTGCCAACCGAAATGTCCCTCTGTGTCATGGCATTCCCCTAAGATCAAACTGCCGATTTCCTCACTATTGGGAACACACAGACGGTCTACTACGTCGGCTTTCTTGAACAACAATCCTTCTGTCATGTGATAGTGTGGTTCTGTCTCTGGGGCCTCCTTAACTCTCTTGAGGAGGTCGCTATAGATAGGGTCCTGCGCATACGCTTATCTTACTTTCTCTTACTTTCTCTTGCAGGTCTGTCCCTACATCCAGATAGTGGACTATAGCTCCAAAGTAGTCTGACCTCCTACTTAGAGCATCCGCAACCACATTGTACTTGCCCTTGACCGGTTTGAGCTCAAAGTCATACTGGTCTATCTCAGCGGCCCACCTAGTCAACTTAGGTGTTATTGGCCTGTGTCTTCAGCCACCTAAGAGTCTCGTGGTCTGAATACACTTTGAAGTGCCTCCCAAGCAGGTAATGCTTCCAGTGTTCTAAGGCCTGCATGAGAGCGCAGCGCTCTCTCCCGTAAGTCGAGGTAGCTACCTTCTCTGAGGGCATCCTCGCTGACATGAACTCTACGGGTCTGTAGCCATTGTCGTCGTCTTGCTGTAACACGGCGCCTATACCATACTGACTCACGTCTGTGGTGACGGCAAATGGCAAAGACGGATCTGCTACTTTGAGGACAGGGTACTCTATCAGCGTGCGCTTTAACTTCTTGAGCGAGGACGTACAATCCTTGTCCCACTGCCAGATTGCTTCTTTCTTTAGCAACCGGCGAAAGTGAGCGGCGATAGTCGAAAAGTTCCTCACGAACTTCCTATAGTAGTTAGGTAGACCTAGGAATGATCGCAACTTTGTCAGTGTGTGGGGTGTCGGCCAGTCTCTAATTGCCGCTATTTTGCTGTTCTCTGGCTTAATGCCATCTCGGTCTAAAATGTGGCCCAAGTACAAGACTTGTGTCTTGGCCCACTCGCACTTCTTCGCATTGATCTTGAAGTTAGCCTCTCTCAACTTCTCCAAGACCTGCCTCAAATGACCCTGGTGCTCTTGGAGGGTCCTACTGAACACTAAGATGTCGTCTAAAGTAAACTACGACGAATCTATCTAACCAAGGTCTAAACAAAT